AAGGGACGGCGCTATTGAGAACTGAAAATAACACAGAATAAACTTTTTACTGGCTCAATAAATGCGGAAAATACCAAAATAAATTGTTTTACTGTGACGTTGCGCAAAGACTTGACCGTAAGGAAATTGTGAATGCAACATGGACGCACTGTGCTATAAAGACTGAACTGAAAACGACAGAGCATGGAATTAAGAATGATAAAATAAATGCCAAAAATGCTCATATAAATTCTGCTACTGTGACGCTGAATTGAGATGTGGCAACTTTAAAAGTTTGCTAAGGACTAAGACCCCTTTGATGACGCAACGGTTTATATGAAGTCCATTCCCAAGGCAAGAGATTTTGAAAAAAGACCCCTTTCAATTCTCATATATAAGTTGTAATATAAGTTGTATATCTACGATGCATGAAGCGCGATTCAATCAGAAAATTTGTGCTATTATATTGTCACAATTGAAGAATATAAAGAAGCTTCCATGGTGTACATATGTATGTATGAGCTAGCTAATGTTCGACACAACTGTGCATTCTTTTATATGTTACATAAAAAAGCACGGAAAACACTCCAAGTAAAAGTTATATTGCCAGGATTAGTCCGGACTGATGTTTTCCTTTTCTAAGTACAAGAAAGTTTTCTTTTTTTGGCTTTAAAATTAGCTTTTTTATGATAATATAAGCTGATGGAAATTGCTATTAGTTTCTCTTGGGTTGGGCTAGTAGTATAGTCTGAAAACCCGCTGAATTCATGAACATTTAAAGTGATAAAAGGTGTTTCAAACTGTTCATCTGAATTACACAAGGATTCTTAAGCTCCAGAGCTGTAAAAAAACAAAATGAACAACACATAACATATAAAATGTAAATATCGACTTATCAACTTTCTGCATCTTGCATGTTGGCTTATGTATGCTTACATAAACATTTTTAAATGTTTAAAATGCTGTAAGGCGATTAAAAATATTGATTAAATGAAAGAAATTGAGGATCAAAAAGAAGGAAGACTACAACACTCATGCTCTACAAAATCTTTTTTTCTTCTTTTTAGAGGGAAACCTTGCACATATTACTGAATCTTAGAGCTCAGGTAAATTACTTTATAGATAAGCTTCCCACACTCCCACCCTGCTTCGCAGTCCCTGTACAGACATCTGTCCGGTTGTTATAAAGCTATTTAAAGGGAGATTTTAAAGTAATAGTATGTCTCAGAGGGAGATTAGGGATTAAATTTCCCCGARGCCGAGGGCAGATAAGTTGAAGTCCCTAATCGCTCTATTTTCAAAATGCTTAGATAGTTACGATTTTTACTTATATAAGTTGAATTCTAATTRAAATTGTTGTGCTTGCRTGATTTTTACCTTGACGCCGCATAGGGCAGCTACAAGCCGATATTTAAGCAACCTTTACAGAGCTGGTTGTCTTCATGCG